AAAGGTGTATTGTGTAAGGATAAAACTAAGAAAAAGGAAGGTTTTGTGTAAGGATAGAGCTGAGAGAAAAGGAGGTCTTGTGTAAGGATAGAACTAGGAGAAAAGGAGGTTTTGTGATAGGATAGAGCTGAAAGAAAAGGAGGTTTGTGTAAGGATAGAGCTGAGAGAAGAGAAGGTTTTGTGTTAGGATAGAACTAAGAGAAAAGAAGGTTTTGTGTTAGGATAGAACTAGGAGAAAAAGGTGTATTGTGTAAGGATAAAACTAAGAAAAAGGAAGGTTTTGTGTAAAGATAGAGCTGAGAGAAAAGGAGGTCTTGTGTAAGGATAGAACTAGGAGAAAAGGAGGTTTTGTGAAAGGATAGAGCTGAGAGAAAAGGAGGTTTGTGTAAGGATAGAACTTAGAGAAAAGGAGGTTTGTGTAAGGATAGAACTAGGAGAAAATATGTATTGTGTAAGGATAGAACTGAGAGAAAAGGAGGTTTGTGTAAGGATAGAGCTGACAGCAAAGGAGGTTTTGTGTAAGAATAGAACTGAGTGAAAAGAAGGTTTTGTTTTAGGATAGAGCTAAGAGAAAAGAAGGTTTTGTGTTAGGATATAACTAGGAGAAAAGAAGGTTTTGTGTTAGGATAGAGCTAAGAGAAAAGAAGGTTTGTGTTAGAATAGAGCTAAGAGAAAAGAAGGTTTTGTGTTAGGATATAACTAAGAGAAAAGAAGGTTTTATGTTAGGATAGAACTAGGAGAAAAAGGTGTATTGTGTAAGGATAAAACCAAGAAAAAGGAAGGTTTTGTGTAAGGATAGAGCTGAAAGAAAAGGACGTATTGTGTAAGGATAGAACTAGGAGAAAGTGAGGTTTTGTGTAAGAATACAGATGAAAGAGAATGAGGTTTTGTGTAAGGATAGAGCTGAGAGAAAAGGAGGTTTTGTGAAAGGATAGAACTAGGAGAAAGGGAGGGTTTGTGTAAGGATAGAACTAGGAGAAGGGGAGGTTTTGTGTAAGAATAGAACTGAGAGAAAGGGAGGTTTGTGTAAGGATAGAACTAGGAGAAAAGGAGGTTTTGTGTAAGGAAAGAACTGAGAGAAAGGGAGGTTTGTGTAAGGATAAAACTGAGAGAAAGGGAGGTTTGTGTAAGGATAGAACTAGGAGAAAAGGAGGTTTTGTGTAAGGATAGAACTGAGAGAAAGGGAGGTTTGTGTAAGGATAGAACTGAGAGAAAAGGAGGTTTGTGTAAGGATAGAACTTAGAGAAGGNTGTAAGGATAGAACTGAGAGAAAGGAAGGTTTGTGTAAGGATAGATCTGAGATAAAAGGAGGTTTGTGTAAAGATAGAACAGGGAGAGAAGGAGGTTTGTGTAAGGTAAGAACTGAGAGAAAAGGAGGTTTGTGTAAGGATAGAACTGAGAGAAAAGGAGGTTTTGTGTAAGGATAGAGCTGAGAGAAAAGGAGGTTTGTGTAAGGATAGAACTAGGAGAAAAGGAGGTTTGTGTAAGGATAGAGCTGAGATAAAAGAAGGTTTGTGTAAGGATAGCGCAGAGAGAGAAGGAGGTTTGTGTAAGGATAGAACTGAGAGAAAAGGAGGTTTGTGTAAGGATAGAACTGAGAGAAGGAGGTTTGTGTAAGGATAGAGCTGAGAGAAAAGGAGGTTTGTGTAAGAATAGAGCTGACAGAAAAGGAGGTTTGTGTAAGGATAGAGCTGAGATAAAAGAAGGTTTGTGTAAGGATAGAACTGAGAGAAAAGGAGGTATTGAGCTTGAACCCTTGTCAGTATCTGCTCAGGGATGAATGGGTTGGAAAAGTAACTTGGTGAGAAAACTATATTTTATCATTAATAGTTTTATATTTTTCAGTTTTATGTTAGAATGAATGATTACTCGCCCCAAAACCTTAATTTAAATCTATAACTTTACAACATAGACGTGAACATGTTTCTGTACTCTTTGATATTTTGATCAGGTAGAATTAATAGTTGGAAATATCAAAGGACTACGACATCGGGACACAAAGATTTACGGATCAGAAAATTAGAGTTTGAGGAGAGTAATCAATGCCTTTATTTTCTAAAAAAGCATCTATTAATATTAAAAGGGGATAAAACACCATTTTATTGGGAATTATTTGTACTGTATACTTACTGCTTGTGTGTGCTTTCTAGATTATCTTTAACTATTGTAAAGTGAGACTTTAAATCTATGGAATACGATGACGACATTTAAAGGGACTGTAAGCATAATATCAAGTGACCTTCTATGCTAAGATTAAATGCCAGATTTTTTACGGCACCCCTGAAAGCTTTATCTGATCAAAAATAAATTAGAAATTCATGTTTTTATTTCTTAAATTGTGTAATTTCTGTCGCGGTTTATTTGCGGAACTTGCGCATTTCTTTATGTTAGGAAGCAATGGAGAATCTTCCCCATTTCTGATCAGATTAAGGGTTTCCGTATAAATCTGGCATTGTCATCTTTGCATGGAGTGTCACTCATAATTATCTTACAGTCCCAGCAATCCTGTTTGTATCTGATGTTATAACTCATATATTTCAAACAGTAACTGAAGAATCAACTGTACTTTAGGGGACTGTAAAGGAAAAATGAAAGGGGGTATAGGCTGAAACCTGAGAATCTCAGGCGTTGAACGATACATATAAGACATCTATCTGATGTTCCTGTCTCGAGAAATTGACATAAAACTGTGTCAAAATTATAACAGAACGTATTTATGTTAGATATATGTCCGTATCACGTCACCAGAACTCCCTCCACATGGCAGTGCAGTATACTGGTCACGTGATACGGACGGAGACATGTGACAATAATACTGCACTGCCTTCGGTTGGGGTTCTGGTGACATAAATAATATTATCAATTATATCTATTAAAAATAGAAAATTATCAAATTCAAAGAATAATAGGAGCAAACTTTAGTTTCTCAGGCTCCTCTGGGATATCCTTGTTTTCAGATTGGCTGTGTATTTGTTAAATATGATCTGTTTAATACTATGAATCATATACAAAATCTTACATACGTTTTGGCATAATTTTGACACAGTTTAATATCAATTTCTCGAAGACAGAAACATCAGATAGAACTTTTATGTGTAGCTCAATCTACTCCTGAGATTCTCAGGTTTCAGCCTATACCCCCTTTCAGTTTTCCTTTACAGTCCCTAGGAATACAAACAATCCTCTTCTTTTTCCACAGTTTTATGGGTTTCACTGTAAAAAAATCTACTGTTTTGTCCAGGTATGGAAAGAGTCTTACATTCAAACTTCTGTACATATTTGTACAGATGCTGCTAACCCCAGTGTACTGTACTGCACATATATTCAGGAATCCATGGTATCAGCATCAAACATAGATAGTTTAAAATTTAAATGTATCTTAAAGGGACTGTAAAGGAAAAATGAAAGGGGTATAGGCTGAAAGCTAATCACTTTAGCTCTTGATCGCGACCCATGAAAGTTTTATCTTATGTTCCTGTCTCGAGAAATTGATATAAAACTGTGATAAAATTATACGAAAATTCATATATGTAAAATTTAGAAAATCTGAAACTTAAATCAGGTGACCAGAACAATCACCAATGGCAGAGCAGTATACTGGTCACGTGTCTCCGCCTGTATCACGTGACCACTTTATTGCACTGTCATTGGTGGAATTTCTGGTCAAGTAATACGGACTTATAAATAATATTATGAATCAAATCTATTAAAAATAGAAATAACAAATATAAAATTAGAATTGGAGTAAACGTAAGTTAGAATTAGCTTTCTCTGGGATATCATCTTTTCAGATTGGTTGCTTATTTGCTGAATTTGATCTATCTAAACCCACTACTTTTATACAAAATTGTATATATATTAATTCTCGTATAAAGGAATTGAGTCTTTGTAACAAACTCTGATTTTCTAATACTTATATTTTTTCCACCTGATGGTGTAAACCTATGATATTTCAAACTTAGATTTTTTCATCTAACAGAATTCATAGTTTGAAATATCTATGGTCTACGGCATTGGATTACAAAGATATAGAGATTAGAAAATCATAGTTTGTGATAAAGACTCAATTCCTTTGACAAAGTTGTATATCAATTTCTCGAGATAGGAACATCAGATATAACTTTCATGGGTCGCGATCGAGAGCTAAAGTGATTAGCTTTCAGCCTATACCCCCATTCATTTTTCCTTTACAGTCCCTTTACTATACATTGTTTTAAAAAATCAAATAAATTATTGATTGTATAAATATACGTTTAAAAATGTTCAGTAAGGCATTTATACATTTCGTATTGTTTTTGATTCGAGTCTCATTCAAATCATCAAAATACTAAATTTACAAAATTACATTAAAGGAATTGATATTTTGCCACAAACTATTATTTTCTAATCCATATATCTTTGCAACTCAATGTCGTAAACCTTTGATATTTTAAACTAAAAATTTATTAGATCAAATAGTCAAGTTTGAAATATCAAAGGTTTACACCATTAGGTTGCAAAGATATAGGGATTGGAAACTTTGTGTTTATGACAAAGACTCTATTCTTAATGAAATTGTTAATCTAAGAATTTGCTAGATGTATTCTACAGTTTCCTTGTACGTCTCTAAAATTAACGGAAATTATAACATTTTTTCTGCCCACCTCTCCTTTTCTTATTTTTCCATGGCTGTGATATCCATGTTAAAGTTTGCCAGGCTTATTTTGGAGGATTTGAAGGACATTTTTCAACCTCGGTGGGTTCACTCAATTTTAAATAAAGTTACAAGGTAACAAGATGTTTCTTATCAATTTTTTTCTTCTTTATTCTGTTTGCTAATTGTTTATCTGAATTTCTTTTAAAAAGACCTATGGGATTGTAATATTTCTTATGTTTAATATCTCCCCCTTGTATTCACAGATGGAGTAGGTTTAATATATTTACAAATCTGGATTCTCCATTGAACAGATGTATCTCATACTTTTTCTCCATGATAGGTCAGATGATAACTATAATAAGTTTAGGGATGACTTTTCTTCTGATAGAAGCAGTCCTTGCTCCCTTCATAAACCTTGATAAAAGTCCGCATCCACGAGATTTATTAGTTCTCAGGTCTAGAATAATTGTATTTTATTATTGCTCAATATTTATGTAGGATTTCCACAAATGGCGATTTTTTCTCGACAACTTTTGTTTGCTGTAATATTTCACATCGTAACTCTAGAATAATAAACATATCTATTCCATAACATTTTAATCCAAATTGTAACTTTTCAATTTTATCTATAATCTTTTACCAATGGAAGACGGGTTGGAGTTAAACTTTAATTTATTTGAACCGGATTTGAACTAATCTGTCAACTTAAAAGTTACTATCTCCTGTTTAAAATCAAGGAAAAAAAATTAAGTTTAAAAAGATCTAATTCTAATAAATTGTTCAGATGGTATCACATGGCCCTGCTTGTCCTTACACTCTCCTTTTTCTACAGGTCAATTATTCTTTTAAAAAATATTTTAAAATAAATAAAGTTTAATTTTCTATAGTGAAATTACTAAAAATATAAAATATTTAATTTTTAATCAACAAATTATCAAAAGTAATTAAAAAGGGAGTGTATCCGTAATTTCAAGTAAACCTCCACTTATAGAGTGACATGTCTGTTTACAGTGGTACCCTTTAAACCTTCTTCTGATCAAAGATAAATGAGATATACTTGTTCTCCTAGCTTATAGTTGATTTTTCCATTCTGGGACCTCTTTTTAAATTGATTGGAAGATTTATGCAGCAGAGAAAAATAAGGACATTTTATGAAATTTTTAAAAAAGGGTCACTTGAAATTCTTTCAATCAAAACTGTGTTTAGAGAGTTAAGTGAGATGGCCCTGCTTCGTAGCTGGAGAATTTTTCATCTTGGTTTCTGGCAGGGGGGTTGCGCCCCCCCCTCAACACATTCAAATCTCATATGCATAATTTATATATTATTTAAACTTTAAAATCCACCATCCTAGAAAAAAAGTTAAAAATGTAGGCACCTAAGGAATTGAGTTTTGCAATAAACTCAAATTTTCCAATCCCTATATCTTTGCAACCTGATTTGTCAACCTTTGATATTTAAAACTTAGACTATTTGAACGCATAGAATTCATAATTTACAACATAGGGTTGTAAATATATAGGAATTAGACAATTCTGAGTTTGCGGCAAAGAATCCATTCCATTTTATACCATAGGATGGCGACTGTTACTATTTGCTTATGTTTCTCAATGGAATCAATAAAACTAGGAAATAGGATGGCGTCTGTTATTAATTAGCTTATGTTTCTCAGTGGAATCCATAAAACTAGGAAATATGATGGCGTCTGTTACTATTTGCTTTATGACAATATCAAATAAAAAAACGAAGAATGATGTTTGAATGATACCTAGCCTTGCAAATTTTTTTTTTACATTTACTAAAAAATTCCTCAACCTTTACCCCATAACCTCACTAAATCTATTAGCGTTTCGTGGCAAACCTTTCTTGCTTATTAGGGGAGGGGGGGGGAGGGAGCCTCAGATAGCGCTCCTTTTTAGTTCTAATGTCATTCTTTTAATGATTGGTGTTTAAGTTTAACATAAATTTAATTTTAATATTTTAGGTTACCAATATTTATATTTTAATATTTTAGGTTACCAGTATTTTATTTTAATATTTTAGGTTACCAATATTTATTCGTCCGNACTGTACACAATCTCACAGCTTAAAGGGACTGTACACAATCTCACAGCTTAAAGGGACTGTACACAATCTCACAGCTTAAAGGAACTGTATACAATCTCACAGCTTAAAGGGACTGTACACAATCTTCACAGCTTAAAGGGACCCCTCATTTGTAGAGTGGAATGCCCGATGCACAACAATACCCTTTTTCTAAGAGACAATCATTAGAACTTAGGATGTAAATCCTTTAACTGAAGGGTCATTTTCAAATAACGTGGATAAGCTTGTGTTGCGCCATTTTTGTTGATAAACAGGTGAAGAGCTTTTCAAAATTGCAAGTTTTAAAAGAAGGTTGAAAAGTGCTATAGGATGAACTAAAATAAAGCTACATATTGAACCTACTCACAATTCAATCATGTTGAATGCATATATCCTGTTCACTTTCTTCCGCACTGCTTTAGTTAGAAAAATTCAATTTAACTCATTTTGATTCAAACTAACCGGATATATCCGTGTAGAACGAACTGTACGGTGTCGGAGCTCGAGGTGAGCCCCTCCCTGATGTATGAGAACGAGATCATGTGGACCAACACCTTGTTCTCCGTGTCCACCACCATCTCCTATATTCACTTCTTATACTGGCTTCAGCTTAATCCAAGCATAGGACCTGTTGTTATATCAGCTAGTCAGGTATCTATCTATATCAGCTAGTCAGGTATCTATCTATATCAGCTAGTCAGGTATCTATCTAAAACCTAAAATTTTAATGATGGAGAGCCACGCGAATGTTCTTATCTTGGCTTTGAGGTCTTAAGTTGAGTGGGTCGACTTTTACAGCGTAAATTTAGTTTCGGCTGGTAAAAATTGACCAAGTGCGGGTAAACGGCGGGAGTAACTATGAGAACTATGAGCAACGCTGGGTTCCCAAGCTAGTATCCTTAATGATCTAAAGGTTGCAAGCTCCGACAAAAAAAATCGATGAAAAATTGTCAATCACTTTTAAAAAAATGAAGCTAAAAATAGGTTATTCGTAGTTATAAGACGTAAATGGCTTGGGTTACAGCAAAGTATAAGTGAGTTGGTAAAATTAAAGAGCAATTTAAATATTAAGTCACACAGTCTTGAACAATTATAAAATTTTTTGTAGCTGCCCGGATCTATGTGGAGGAATCGTCTTTATTCGTTGACTTCTATCAAATGACAAAAAAGTTTATTGTGGCTCCTAAAACCCTTACAAGTCATAAAACGTTTTATATACATTTTAAAAAAGTGAATATTTGAAAATTATCTTTTTTTCCATCTCATGATCTAATTTCGTTTCCCTTTTGTCCATTTGACAGCCCAAAATTTTTTTTTAAATAATCATTTTTGTTTGTTTATTTTCTTGTGATTTTTAATAGTTTTTTTAAATCGATTTTGATGGTTATTATATCGCTAGGACTGACGAGGATGAACCCAGACCGAAATATATTTGCAATAAATATGGAACAAACATCGTTTTATATACATCTTTGTCTTTACACAGCTATTAACGAACAACGACAACCTTTAAGTCGTCACTCAACGACCATGTTTAGTGGGACACACTTTAGCTATGGGTTAACACAAAATATCAGAGAGCACTGTACTAATTTTCTTCAGCCTTTTTTTAGTAAATTCATAGACTTTGCACCTTGTTTCTTTATAAAATTATTAAGCATCACTCCTGTATGCCGAGTCCATTAGCGCCTAATCCAATCAGGGTTCAGTCATATGTTTGTTGTCTATTCTGAACCAATAGAAATTGTATGGCGGTAACAACTATCTTTCTATCTATCTCATTATCTTGTTTGTTGTCTATTCTGATCCAATAGAAATAGTATGGTGGTAACATCTATCTTTCTATCTATCTCATTATCCAATTAGAGGTATGAATCCTTCAATCGGCGCTATCAGTAAATGAAAATAATTACTTTTACTCAAACTATAGTTACCTTGCCAGTAATACAGATTATATTGATGGCATAAAACTAGATTTAATTCGTCTATATTTGTAGAGTTTAATAAAGTTAATAAAGTCTCATCCTTTTTGGATACCCCTGCAATAAACAGGGAAGGATTGGAATATTGTTTAGATAAAAAATCCAATAAAAATGGTTGTTATCTAGGTTGTAACAGATGTTTTGACGATCAGCAGTATGTATCTGATTCTTCTCTGTGCATTCGCCTCCGGGATCATTTTTATAATCGGGACGGAGAAAATTACGGAGAGTATTGATTTCAAACCTTTAAACTCCTCTGCTCCGACCCCTCTTCAACTCTATTCAGGTAGTGCGGTCAACTCACGTAGATTTAACGGTTCGATCCTCCAGGGAACTGTGACCTTTGATGACGATTTGGCCGATTAAGCATCTATATTTTAAACAGATTGTTCTATATTTTAAACAGATTGTTCAATATTTTAAACATATTGTTCTATATTTTAAACATATTGTTCTACATTTCAAACAGATTGTTCTATATTTTTAACAGCATCTATGAGAATTACTTCTGAAAAACTAAAGATAAAAACAATTTCTTTGAGGTTCTAAAATGTAAATATTTAGGGATACAAAATAGTATAAGTGAGTTTGTGCTCTGGGCGGAGCGATACTTTAAAGTTGAACAAGTCTTTTCATAGCAATCAATTTGATCCAAGTATTTTTATAGAGAGCTTCTGGTTGACTGTTGAGTCCTTGTTCTGGTCGTGGTTAGGACCTGGAGAATCAGATTTGCACATAACAGGTTCAAATTCAACGTTTTGGAGCTTTCGATAGATTCCGCAAAAATCTAAGATTCTCTGTAAGATTGCTTTTATTAAATTGAACAACATTTCTACTTTTTCTCAATATATTAAACAAAAACGAGAGGTACTCCAAAATAAAATAGGATCATCATGTTTTAAAATTGTATTTTCAACAAGTTTGCTGATATAAATTGGACAAAATTTCTACTTTATCTCATGATATTAAACAACAATTCTTTTTCGTTTGTATGTCAGAACAAAAAAAAAGGTTTTTGATCTTTTGATAAAATTGTATTTTCGACAAGTTAAATTGTGTACATGGAAAAAAAGCTAACTTAATTTTGAACTATGATGAGAAAGTGCAGATTGCCCAGAAGTAATATTTTTTCATCTGATTTCCTAAATTTTCATTTGATTATTAAAAACATTTATTTTATTTTATTTTAAATTCAATATTCTGAAAATATGTTTTAGGGAATTCCTCCCGAGCAATTCTAGTGAAGGTTCTGGTTGGAATTTATCAGGTAAAATTCTAGTGAAGGTTCTGGTTGGAGTTTATCAGGTATAATTCTAATGAAGGTTCTGGTTGGAATTTATCAGGCAAAATTCTAGTGAAGGTTCTGGTTGGAGTTTATCAGGTAAAATTCTAGTCAAGGTTCTGGTTGGAATTTATCAGGTAAAATTCTAGTGAAGGTTCTGGTTGGAGTTTATCAGTTAAAATTCTAGTGAAGGTTATGGTTGGAATTTATCAGGTAAAATTCTAGTGAAAGTTCTGATTGGAATTTATCAGGTAAAATTCTAGCCAAGGTTTTGGTTGGAATTTATCAGGTAAAATTCTAGGCAAGGTTTTGGTTGGAATTTATCAGGTAAAATTCTAGTCAAAGTTCTGGTTGGAATTTATCAGGTAAAATTCTAGTGAAGGTTCTGGTTGGAGTTTATCAGTTAAAATTCTAGTGAAGGTTATGGTTGGAATTTATCAGGTAAAATTCTAGTGAAAGTTCTGATTGGAATTTATCAGGTAAAATTCTGTTCTGGTTGGAATTTATCAGGTAAAATTCTAGTGAAGGTTCTGGTTGGAGTTTATCAGTTAAAATTCTAGTGAAGGTTATGGTTGGAATTTATCAGGTAAAATTCTAGTGAAAGTTCTGATTGGAATTTATCAGGTAAAATTATAGCCAAGGTTTTGGTTGGAATTTATCAGGTAAAATTCTAGCCAAGGTTTTGGTTGGAATTTATCAGGTAAAATTCTAGTCAAAGTTCTGGTTGGAATTTATCAGGTAAAATTCTAGTGAAGGTTCTGGTTGGAATTTATCAGGTAAAATTCTAGTCAAGGTTCTGGTTGAAGTTTATCAGGTAAAATTCTAGTCAAGGTTCTGGTTGGAATTTATCAGGTAAAATTCTAGTCAAGGTTCTGATTGGAATTTATCAGGTAAAATTACAGAAATCAAATAACATCTAATTAAAATAATCAAAGTAAAATCGGAAAGATCGCTGCATCATATCCTTTAACCAACTTATTTCAAATGATCACATATAATCATATTCTTGAACATCATTATTTCAGGTGATCGCTGTGATCGTGTTCTTGAATCTATTGATCGCCTCTATGAACAGTACTGTGCAGAAGATTCAGGATAAGCAGGCGGTGTACTGGAAATATGCCAGAGCAGGTATTCTGTACACTGTACACTCTACACTCTACACTCTATTCTCTAGACTCTACATTGTCTATTGTACAGTGTACACAGCAATTTTTTTTAGTAACATAATTTGTATGTAAATTAGTTCAAAATAAAAAATTTCTAAATTTATGCTTTTTACAAGCTAGTGTAACATCTTCTTAAAAACATTTCTTAGATGAACTTTTTATTTTTAGAAGTTTGGATGAGGTTTTTTGACAAGGAGACTGCCCTTCCACCCCCCTGGAACCTTTTCTATCTGATCAGAGTCATTCCAAGGTTTACTGTTCATTTTTTCTAATCTTTAAAAATCTAAAAATATACAGTGAACCCCAAGAATAATTCAAAATAATTTAATTCGCATATATGTAAAAAAAAAAATAGTTAGAAACAATGAAGTTTTCAGTAAGATTTGATGATTTGCTTTATTTTTTTTAGAATAATACATAATATAAATCTTTGAAAGGAATTGAGTTTTTGTCACAAACTAAAATGTTTAAATCCCTATATCTTTGGAACCTGATGGAGTAAACCTTAGATATTTCAAACTTAAATTATTTGATCTAACAGTATACTTAGTTTGAAATATATTGGGTCTAAGACATTGGGTTGCAAAGATATAGGGATTTGAAAATCAGAGTTTGTGGCAAAGACTCAATTCCTTTACAAACTAAAATTTGTCTTCCATTGAAAAAATGTTGAAATTTTTTTCTCAAGTATTTTTTAAAGCATCTTTTTCAGTGCTAAATCAATTTCTTTGGTTTTTAAGGATTAAAAGAATTGAGGTATTGCCACAAGATCTGATTTCCTAATTTCCAAATATCTTTGCAATGCAACCTAATGGTTTAAATCTTTGATATTTCAAACTAGAATTTTTTGATCCAATATAATTCATAGATATAGAGATTAGAAAATTAGAGTTGTGGTAAAAACTCAGTTTCTTTCCATTATTGCTATGTTTAGACTGCTAAAGAGTTTGAGAGCAAGGTTATGTGGAAGAACTACGACAAAAGAGAAGAAAATTTCTGAGAATTATCGAACCTTGATAATATTATTGATTCGGAGAATTCAATTGAAACCTAATCAAGAACTACATTTATATCAATAGAATAGAGCTCGGATCTTTTGTATTGTTAATCGCTACAGAAACCATTAATCCTTTGTGTTTATCTGTTTTATGGTTTGAATAGACTACATAGAATATTGAAAAGACTACATCTAGAGTTCTATCTGTATTGTTGTTAATCTATGAACTACACTTTGACAAGTTAAATCTGTGAACTTTAAATATTTACTGTTCAAAAAAGTAAATGGAAAAATTGGTTTTTGTCTTTTATCTTTAAAATTATTTGCTGAAATCAAATTTCAACCTACTTAAAGGGACTGTAAAGGAAAAATGAAATGGGGTATAGGCTGAAAGCTAATCACTTTAGTTCTTGATCGCGACCCATGAAAGTCATATCTGATGTTCCTATCTCGAGAAATTGATATACAACTTTGTCAAATTTATACGAAAATTAATATATATACAATTTTGTATAAAAGTAGTAGGTTTAAAAAGATCAAATTCAGCAAATAAGCAACCAATCTGAAAACGATGATATCCCAGAGAAAGCTAATTGTAAATTAGGTAACACAGTTTTATATCAATTTCTCGAGATAGGAACATCAGATATAACTTTCATTGGTCGCGATCAAGAGCAAAAGTGATTAGTTTTCAGCCTATACCCCCTTTCATTTTTCCTTTACAGTCCCTTTAAGGATGTGGGATTCTTGAAACAATAACCACAAAACTCTCCTAGTCATGACATTTCAAAAATTTATTTGTCCTTGTTTGTGCTGTCAATATTACCGAAGAATTTCGTTCAGATTTTGATTTGTTTAATGAAACCAACATTGTCGAAATCTGAAGAAAATTCTTCATACATCCTGTAATATTGAAAGCACGAGCGGACCACATCTTGGAAATCCCAAGACTATGGATATTTTTTATTATCAACTCTACAATTTTACTTCTATAAAAAGGTTTACGAATAAACGCCTCAAAATTTTTCAAAGACTAAAGAAAATTATGTTTAAAAATTGATGAAACTTGGAGTAAATGCCATAATTTGCATGATATTATTTATCAATTTTATTCCATATTTCTAAAAAATCTAGATGTTGATCAAAACTGGTTTTCTTACGAAATTTCTCGTAATATTTTGAATTATTCATTAAAAGAAAATAGCGGATAACCATATCTGTTAAACGTAAAATCAATTTGCTAGAGTAGCAGCAGCGTTATTTAGAGAAAATCTCAGTTTTATAACAAGCTAAAATTGGAGAGAGAATACGATTTATTAAAAGGCACCAAAAGGGACTTGCTCCAATCACGATGGCAACCTATAAACGTTTAAAATCTTAAAATATGGAATATTGTCATTCTCCTTTCTGGAGCACATACAAAACATATCGTCACTAAACTTATCACCGCAAAACATATCAAAACATATCTTATCAGCGACAAAACTTATCAAAACATATCATCAGAAAACATATCAAGTTTTGTAGTTTCATAGGTTTTGTGATGCTAAGTTTTGTCGCTAATAAGATATGTTTTGATATGTTTTGTTGTTAGATAATAAGTTTTGTGATGATAAGTTTTGTGATGATAAGTTTTGTGATGATAAGTTTTGTGATGATAAGTTTTGTGATGATAAGTTTTGTGATGATAAGTTTTATGATGAAAAGTTTTGTGATGAAAAGTTTTGTGATGATAACTTTTTTGATGATAAGTTCTGTGATGATAAGTTTTGTGATGATAAGTTTTGTGATAATAAGGTTTGTGATGATAAGTTTTGTGATGATATGTTTTGTGATGATAAGTTTTGTGATGATAAGTTTTGTGATAATAAGTTTTATGATGATATGTTTTGTGATGATAAGTTTTGTGATGATAAGGTTTATCATGATAAGTTTTGTGATGATAAGTTTATGATGATAAGTTCTGTGATGATATGTTTTGTGATGATAAGTTTTGTGATGATAAGTTTTGTGATGATATGTTTTGTATGTTTTGTTTTTCTACCTTGATAAGTGTTTATATCTGACACGATCCTCTATTGTCTTTCTGCAGAAGAAATCCGCTTTTCTAGGAAACTAAAATTAAAGATAATATAGAAATCTTACTCATTCTTGATCATGCAAAGCTTTTTAGGATACCATTGTAAATCAAACCTGCCACTCTAAAACTGAAGGATCACATGAAACTACGTAAACAGTCCATTTAATTAAAAAAAACATATCCAATCCCTCCCCCCTAGCATACTTGTTTTGTTTCCCCCAGAATCCTGTTTTCCCAGGGAGTAAGGAATAGAAGGGAGATACAACTGACGCGGCCCGCCCTACCATATGATTATACATCAGGGAGTATGAAATAGAAGTGAGATACAACTGACGCGGCCCGCCCTACCATATGATTATACATCAGGGAGTATGAAATAGAAGGGAGATACAACTGACGCGGCCCGCCCTACCATATGATCATACAGGCTTTGCAGACGGTACTCCATTTGTATAAGAAACTTTTGTCTGATGTACAATTACCGCGTATACAATAACCTATTCTGAATATCTCATATACAAATGGAGTCTGCAAAGCATGTATAATCATATGGTAGGGCGGGCCGCGTCAGTTGTATCTCCCTTCTATTTCATACTCCTTGTGTTTTCCTTATTATTAAATACCTAATTTTTCACTGATTTTGTTATGTAAACAATGCAGTACGTTTACACCGTTGTCGCTTTCTAGTCTAAACTTTTCTTTGGATTACCCCCCTCCGCCCCCCCCTCCTTCTCATCGAATCCTTCTCGGATATGGTAATTATGCCACTCCTCCAGAATCAAAGTTTAGATAACAATCAAACAACTATAGATGAACAAAATTACATAAAACAGAATGTATAATAATTATTATCACTTTATGAATCTACGTCAAAAATATTTTTTTAATTGAATAATTTGATCGAAATAAGGAATATTGTGTCAGAAGAAATTATCCTATCTAAATTACCGAAGTTAGTTTGATCTTTCGAACACTGATAAATCTATCGAACACTCTGATAAATCTATCGAACACTCTGATAGAATAATTAAATATACGACTCACTTAGTCCCTCCCAAATAGATTCTAATACAATAGATGGCAACGCAGAATTTGCACACTGTCAATACAGCTGTGTTTTAGTGTACGACAAAATTATTTTTAAATGTGATAATTTTAGAATAAAGCGTTTATCTTACAGTAACATAAGTTCAATTTTATGTGTTCTTTATTTTCTGTTTTTACACTTTTTTTATTAAATCTTGGAAAACATGTCAACTAATGTGAGAAAATTTTGTTTTTCTTGTTATATTTGACACTTGTGACGTCGTGTATAATTGGCCCATTTCTCTGTTGCTACCTCTTGTACTTAACAATCCATTTGAGTTCTCTTCTTGGCGGTTATTTCGTCCCTCTGTCTGTTCTTATCAGGAGAGCATGGCCTACGCCTTTCTAAAAAAAAACGTTCAGAAAATGAATTGTTTTAGTAAGAAGATTTATCTAACATGTTGACATATAAAGAGGAAAAAAATCTTCCACTGGGAACCCACCACAAACTACACAGACTGCTCATACACTCTACCTGGATAGGCTGAGCAGCCCTATAGTGTCCCGGCACGCCATGCTACGGTTCCATGTAATATTTTCTGACTAACATCTCACAGCCACTTGTTGCATTCAGGGGTTAAGTTTTACAACTTTTGAAGAAATACTCCAATTTCAAACATAAAATATAACATTTATAAATTTTGTCTATTTTTGAAGATTTTGTATTTCCTATGAAAAGGATCCTTATCTCTGGAACCCACAATTGAAAACACTCAACAATCAGGCTGCACACCCCATGTATGTATAAATTGCATTATTTTTAACAATAGCTTTATGTTTGATATTTTACATTTTCAAAATAAAGATTTTAACTGTTTAAATGTTGATAGTTTGATTTTTAAAAGTGTGGCAAAGTGTGTGGGAAATAAAAAAAAAATAATTAAATAAATGTGAAATTTTTATATTTATTTCATAAAAAGTGTGTGGTAGCGAGGGTGATGGGAAATTTTTAAAAAAATGGAATAAATGTTGATATTACGATTTTGAAAAGTGTCCATGGCAAGTGTGTGGGAAATTGAAAAAATTGATTAATTAATGTTGATATTTATATTTAAAAAGTGTGTGTTGCGAGGATCGAAATATCAATATTTATTCAATTATTTAATTTCAATTTCCCACTACCTTCGCTACCACACACTTTTTTAAAATCGAAATATCAACATTTATTCAATTATTGTTTCTTCAATACACTTTTGAAGAAATATGAATTAATATTTGTTAAAACTTTTTCAAGAAAAATGGTTGCTAACTACCTTTTTACCTAAGTTTACAATGAATACTCCTATTTTTGACAAAAAAAGGCATTTTTCGGGTAACCCTATTTGTATATAAAGTGTTTTTCCGTCTACCCTATCACCTCTATGGACAGGACTAGCTGGTGCAGCAAGGTTGACGCGGTCAGACTTTATGCTTCATATAGGTTAAATTTACTTTTACTAAAGGGGCAGAGGTGCGTGCTATACCGTTTAATTTGTTACGGACTAATAAACAAAAACATCTAATTCTACATAATTCAAAAAAACAAAACTAGGATGCACAATCTCAAATACAACCTAATTATGAAAATCTGAAAATTAATAAAATCTCTAAAAACTAGGTTTTCAGAAAAAAATATTTGTCAAAACAATAGGTTCATGAATCTGTTGGTTGACAAGTGCAAGCTGGTTTTGCTAAGATGAATCTTGAGTTTACGTAAGTTTTCATATTATAAAACCACAGCGATGAGAGCATATTACTCAACCCTCTGGCCCCATGTTACGCTTTGCGTAACTCAGGTGTAGACCTACGCTATTCATGCGTACCAGCTGGATGTAGAATTTCTAAACTGTAAATAAGTCACCTAATTGTTTAGGATGTCAGTAGTACATATTATATATGACACATTTAAGGATTTTTATATTTTAGTATTTCCGTTTCCAGGTTAGAGAACAGTTCTAAACTATATATTGTTATGCACCAGTGCAGAAACTACAATATTTTCAATATTTTCGTGGTTCAAAGGTGCGTCGAGCGGGAAAAATTCAGTGAGGTATTGGATCCCTCTTCAGAATCTCTGAAAAGCAAGGTTCAGTTTGGTTTTAGCAGTGCTCCGGTCTAGACACGGAGTAGGCAGAACCTAAACCTGACCCAACTCCAACCCAGCACCCAGATATTTAGGTTATCCATTGCATCTTGTATTCTTTTAAGCTATTCAGGTCAAGGGATTTCAAGGGTTACAAACTTTCAAACTTATAAACTAAAGAAATTTGTCACAAACTCTGATTTTCTAATCTCTTTTATCTTTGCAACCTTCTTCTTTTCAAACACTTTATTAAAGAACAAAACATATTTTAACACATAAAATGGTTCTGATATTATATACAAAAAGACAGAAATAAGAAAAAGACGCACAACAATGGAAGATTGATAAAAAATTGTTATAAAATTGCTATCTTTTTAACCTAATGTCGTAGCCTTAGATATTTCAAACTATAAATTCTGTTAGATCAAATAATCTAATTTTGAAGTATCGAAGGTTCACACCCAGGGCCGTAACTGGGGAAAAGGGGTAAACGTTGGTTTGCCCCCCCCCACCCTTATTTACCCTGTATGCCCCCCGGCATGTTTACACCATCATGTTGATAAGATATAGGGATTAAGAAATAGAGTTTGCGGCAAATCTTCAATTCCTTTAGCTGATTATAATTTCAATATTGAATATTCTTGTTTTCCTTGAAACCTGATGGTGTCAAACTTTGCTAAATCATATTCAGATTTTTTTATCTAACAGAGTTCATGGTTTGAAGTATGTAAGGTCTATGACATTGTGTTGCAAAGATATAGGGATTAGAAAATCATAGTTTATGGCAAAAACTCAATTCCTTTTTGTTTAACCAAAGATAAAAATAATCGTGAAAAACTAAATGTTATTTTTGGTTCAATCTATTTCCTCTTATCAATATTAATTGATATTCGAAACAACATTTTTCTTTGAAAGAATTAAAATGATTTGTGGTAGTAAAGGGGTGGTGGATGATGTCAGATCTTGGGGTTGGGAACAGGCTGGGGGGGGGGGCTATATGTAATTTCCTGAGACGGATGTTTAAAGAATACCGGAATGTTTGAGTATAAATGTATGGGTTTTGTTACCAGTTTCTCTAGGACAGTCTAGTAGTGAGCAGTGTCCAGTAGAAACTACCCACCTGAAGCTAAAACCAACCCTGCTCACACAACCATCAAATCTGGGAGAAAACAAAATAGCTTCGTGATGTCGTACACAAACCAGGCTTTTTCGGTAAATATATATTTTTTATTTAAAGGGACTGTACGGGTATTTTCAGTAAATATATACTTTTATTTAAAGGGATGCACGGGTATTTTCGGTGAATATATATTCCTTATTTAAAGGGACTGTACGGGTATTTTCGGTGAATATATATTTTTTTATTTAAAGGGACTGAACGGGTATTTTCGGTGAATATATTTTTTTATTTAAACAGGTATTTTCGAGCTACCCTCTAGGCAAACATGGCAATGCCTGATTCACAACGGTTCTCTTATCAAGTATAAAATATATATTAATGTTTTTATTTTTTTTTAAATTTATTATTTTTACTCTATTATATTTGTGATTTCTCTACAAAAGTGACTTGTGCATTTGACTGTAGGAAAACGTGTAGGAATTATCAGAATTAAACACTTTAAGATCATGTCTACTCTTGTAAATCGGGCATAGTCATCTCTGCAAGGAGAATCGCTTAAAATTACGCTTTAGGTCCCTGTAAACTTTTGACCTTCAGTAAATGAAAGATATGAATGTTTGTTTACTCAACCCTAATTTAATTTAAAATTTAAAATTCGGTGATGGTGATGGACCAAACCTCTGTAGAGTAAAAAAGTGGATGTTAGTTCAACATTTATTGAAAATATATTTCGGTCTGGGTTGACCCTCGTCAGTTCTAACGATGTAAAAATTTCAAATTGATATTTGTATTTATGTTAAAAATGAGTATTTCTGATCAACATTCAAGTTTCTTTTTACATTTTATCACACTTTGATGAGATACAAAATTTGAAAAATATTTCTAGAAATTTTGTTAACTAAAAAAACGTAATTATTTCCTGGTTGTGTCGGTAAAATAACAAGGGCTTTCTCTCCGAACCTTAATTCGATGGAAAATATCGAATAAATGCATAGTAGACACTTCCGAGTACTTTCGGAAACCCCAGAATATCCTGCATTAAGGGATTGGAAAGGATTAAGGGATTGTAAAGGATTAAGGGATTGTAAAGGATTAAGGGATTAGAAAGGATTAAGAATTTGGAAAGGTGTTAAGGGATTGTAAAAGATTAAAGGATTTGTAAGGATCAAGGGATTGTAAAGGATTAAGGGATTGTAAAGGATTAAGGGATTGTAAAGGATTAAGGGATTGGAAAGGATTAAGGGATTGTAAAGGATTAAGGGATTGTAAAGGATTGGGGGATGAAATGAATAAAGCAAAATAAACTGAACGAGATTAAGGAACTTAAGTTTTAAAATTCGGTGATGATGATGAGCCAAACCTCATCAAGGAAATAAAGTATCTAAGTGTTAGTTCGAATTTTTTTTTTAAATATATTTTTAACTTCGGTCGGGGTTGACTTACTTCAGATCTATACTAACGATACAATATCAAAGTCAATATTAAAAATGTAAAACAAACTGTTTTGTATTATTATGTCCATAATATTATATTATTAACAGTTTGGCATAAATAATTGGAGATAATAAAGAATAGAAATAGTTTAGGATATGTTATTTTGTGATAAAAATTAAATGATATCTTCACTATATTCTGACAGTGGGAAGAGGGTGTGCCATGCTATACACAAATATGAAATAACAATAGATATTTACCATTGCAACTATTTACAACTATCGTTTGCATTTTAACAAATACGTATATTGAAGAATAATAAAAGAATAAAGTAGTAAACGTATTTTTAAATTTTTGCTTTCAGATTTTTAAAAGATTTTCAAAAATTGAAGAAAAAAAAATTCAATTTCGAAAGGCTACAAACCTTCCATGTGGTCATGTGATTCATCACTAGCATTTTTGTCCCGATAGGTTCAGATATTTAACAAAAAATGTCGTATATTTCCTAAAATAGATTTGTCTTTAAAAAATCTAAATTCTATCGCAGTCGGCAGTACTGCAATCAGTGATTGTACTAATAATTTAGTGAAACCAATGCAAAACTTGGTTTATCCAGTCCTAGGGTAAGTCCCAAAAAAGATTTTTAAATATTTTTAAAATGGGCGAAAAACTTGTTTTTTATCCCTATATCTTTGCAACCTGATAGAATAAACCTTTTTTATCTCAAACTTTGGCTGAATCTAGCAGAATTTGCATTGGAAAATATATTTCAAATATATCAGAAAAGATATTGATCAGAAAATTAAAAGTTTTAGACAAATGGTCAGAGGCCGAATTTAAAGAATTTGAGCCGTGGCTTAAATTTAAACCAGGGCTCAAATTAGTTTGGTTCCACTTAAACTTGTATTAAAAATTCTCAAGATTTAAGCAGGCGCTTAATTAAAACCGGATTTTGGGAGATTTAAGCCGCGACTTAAATTCATTAAATTCGGACACAGTTTCCATTTTGCTAATTTGAATTGAAAAAATAGTTTTCTTTATTTTTTAGATTTTAATCATCTCAAGTTCGGAATCAAACTGCATTATTGTAAAATTTTCAATTTTATGTAAGCAAAAATATTAATCCTTTGTTTTTGTTCAACGTTTTGCAATAAGTAATTTTCTAGTATAAACAAATACCATTATTAATTTAATGCAAACAATACAAAACCGTCAAGAAGACAAAATTGAGGAATATAGTTGTTCAAAGCTAGGAAAATAAGTCTTTGCCACAAATTCAAATTTTCTAATTTCTAAATCCTTGCAATCTAATGACGTACACCTTTGATATTTTAAAGTTAGATTATTTGATATAACATAACATAATTCATAGCTTAAAATATCTAAGGTCTACGCCGTTGGTTTGCAAAAATAAAGGGATTAGAAAATCAGAGTTTGTGTTTAAACTTACTTTAACAGTCTCTTTAAGCATAAATAATTTATTTAGATCCTGTTCTAATTAAATCAAATCTAAAAGGTTGTTTTGAATTCTGGAAATGTTCGTCTCTCTACTCTAGTTTTAAATGTCGAGTTTAAATACCGAGTTTAAATGTCGAGTTTAAATACCGAGTTTAAATACCGAGTTTAAATACCGAGTTTAAATACCGAGTTTAAATACCAAGTTTAAATACCGAGTTTAAATACCGAGTTTAAATATCTAGTTTATATACCGAGTTTAAATACCGAGTTTAAATACCTAGTTTAAATACCGAGTTTAAATACCAAGTTAAAATACCGAGTTTAAATACCGACTTTAAATACCGAGTTTAAATACCGAGTTTAAATACCAAGTTTAAATACCGAGGTTAAATACCGAGTTTAAATACCGAGTTTAAATACCAATTTTAAATACTGAGTTTAAATACCGAGTTTAAATGCCAAGTTTAAATACCAATTTTAAATACCGAGTTTAAATACCGAGTTTAGATACCAATTTTGAATACCAATTTTAAATACCGAGTTTAAATACTGAGGTTCAAATACTGAGGTTCAAATACCAAGTTTAAATACCGAGTTTAAATACCGAGTTTAAATACCAATTTTAAATACCAATTTTAAATACTGAGTTTAAATACCAAGTTTAAATACCGAGTTTAAATACAGAGTTTAAATTCCGAGTTTAAATACCGAGTTTAAATACCGAGTTTAAATACCAATTTTAAATACCAATTTTAAATACCTAGTTTAAATACTTAGTTTAAATACCAAGTTTAAATACCTAGTTTAAATACCAAGGTTTAAATACCAAGTTTAAATACCTAGTTTAAATACCGAGTTTAAATACCTAGTTTATATACCGAGTTTAAATACCGAGTTTAAATACCTAGTTTAAATACCGAGGTTTAAATACCGAGTTTAAATACCTAGTTTAAATACCGAGTTTAAATACCTAGTTTAAATACAGAGTTTAAATACCTAGTTTATATACCGAGTTTAAATACCGAGTTTAAATACCGAGTTTAAATACCGAGGTTTAAATACCAAGTTTAAATACCGAGTTTAAATACCAAGTTTAAATACCGAGTTTAAATACTGAGTTTAAATACCAAGTTTAAATACTGAGTTTAAATACCGAGTTTAAATACCGAGTTTATATACCGAGTTTATATATCGAGTATAAATACCGAGTTTATATACAGAGTTTAAATACCGAGTTTGAATACCGAGAAGGTTTGGGACCACGGAAGAAGTTTACTTGAAGTACGAGAATCTAAATACATCAGAGATTTTATGACTGAACTCAGAGGAATGAACAGAAAAAAATAGTTTATGTTTAATTGTTAACTGTAATTCAGTATGTTTTTTATACATTTTTTTTTAAAGTGAATATTTGCAAATTATCTCTTTTCCATCTCATAATCTGAGTTCGTTTTCCTTATGTCCACTTGACAGCCCAAATTTTTATTTTGAAGAATCTTTTTTGTTTGTTTATCTTCTTGTGATTTTTTACATTTTTTATTTTTTTTATCGATTTTGATGGTTATTATATCGTTAGAACTGACGAGGGTCAACCCAGACCGAAATATATTTTCAATAAATGTGGAACTAACATCTACTTTTTTTACTCTACAGAGGTTTGGTCCATCACCATCACCGAATTTTAAATTTAAATACCGAGTTTAAATACCGAGTTTAAATACCGAGTTTAAATACCGAGTTTAAATAACGAGCTTATATACAGAGTTTAAATAACGAGCTTTTATACAGAGTTTAAATACCGAGTTTGAATACCAAGTTTAAATACTGAGTTTATATACAGAGTTTAAATACCGAGTTTAAATACTGAGTTTAAATAACGAGTTTATATACAGAGTTTAAATACCGAGTTTGATTACCGAGTTTAAATACCGAGTTAAAATACCGAGTTAAAATACCGAGTTTAGATACCGAGTTTGAATATTCTTAATTTTACTTTTTTTTTTTAAATATTTTTATCTGAAATGTCTCTTTTAATATTGAGAAGGAAACCATGAAATTAAATTAAAATGATTGTTTTGTCTGATAAAGAATGCATGAAATGTTCGTGATTTTCTTTTTGAAAATTGATTATTTTCCATTTTGGCGTCTCTTTACAGTAAATTGAGCATTTCAATGGAAAAAATTGTAAGATGTAAACATTTTTCAAGTTATAGAAAAACGACGTTTTTCGTCATTGTTGACCTGATACATGTTTATCATTATTGGCTCTACTCCTAGATAATCTTAGATTTTTATTCTATAATACTTTTCCCTCAATAACCTTTCCTTGCCGGTCACGCTCTATGAAGGATATCTATTGTGGGTAACATTTTATTATCTACAGAAGAAATATAACCATAGTTATAAAGCTGTTGTTCAGGGGGCACCTAGAGAGAGGGACGGAACCTGGGTTAAAGAAATAGAGCTCACTAGATCCTCTCCTGGAGGGAGGAGTTCAGAACTCAAGGTAGGTTTATACACTGTACTCCGTCTTAGCTAGTCTGAGATCACTAGATCCTCTCCTGGAGGGAGTAGTTCAGAACTCAAGGTAAGATTATACACTGTATTCCGTCCTAGCTAGTATCAGCTCACTAGATCCTTTCCTGGAGGGAGTAGTTCAGAACTCAAGGTAGGATTATACACTGTACTCCGTCCTAGCAAGTCTGAGCTGATCCTATTTTTCGAATACACTCGCGCTCTATTTTCAAAATATTTATTTAGACACATTTGAACGAGGAAGCATCCAAGAGGGTTGGAGTTATTGGGAGTGGAGATTTTGGACGCGCACTGGCAGGACGGTTAGCTCAAGCAGGATACCATCCAACCATAGGGAGCAGGAACCCGGAGGAAAATAGGTAGGATACTATCAAACCATAGGGAGCAGGAACCTGGAGCAGAATAGGTAGGATACAATCCATCCATAGGGAGCAGGAACTTGGAGCAGAATAGGTAGGATACTATCCATCCATAGGGAGCAGGAACCTGGAGCAGAATAGGTAGGATACTATCCATCCATAGGGAGCAGGAACCTGGAGCAGAATAGGTAGGATACTATCCAAACATAGGGGTAGGAACCCGGAGCAGAATAGGTAGGATACTATCCATCCTTAAAGAGTAGGAATCTGGAGTAGGATTTAAGAACTGAACCTACAGGGTATCCCAAAAAAAATAAGTTATGGTTTTGAAGTCTGTTTTATGGGTTTAAAAGTCGTAAATGAGAACTTTATAACTATAATTTTTGATAACAGAAAAAAGGCTTCAGATCGAAAAAAAAACTTTAAAAAGAAACCTCCTCCAGAATCAAATGTAATATTTCTGAATTCAAAATTGAGACTTTGAAACTCATTAAAATTATTTAATCTTGTTTTGGACAGCCTGTGAGTATAAAGTTTGATAGATTTTTTATGACAACAAAAAGAATTGTTGCAGAAAGCATCTAGAATTTGGTCCGTCTCAAAAATTGTTTAAGATTGGTTAATCTGCCACACAAAAAATGAATTTAATGATGAACTGAACAAAACGAATTTAGCAAATTAATAATTATCCAAATCATCATAGCGTGTTAAAAATTATCACAGTAAAACATGAATGCAAGGAGGATCGGTTGGGTAGGGGCAGGCGCGTAGTGGAGGTTTAGCCTAGGGGGGGGGGTTGCGTAAGCGCACCGAAATTTTTTTTGTTCACCCCCTAACGGTTGATGTGCACCCCCTAAAAAACCGGTATTGAGAAAAAAAATAAAGTTTAAAATTTATATAAATCTACATAAAGGCTGACTATTAGTCATCTGATCATAATTACCAATCATACCATCATAAAATTTAGTAGTAAAAGAGCAAAAACCTTAAAAAAATTTTTTTTTATCACATTAAGTAACATCATGACTAGATTACATTGGAGTGAAATTGTGACATTGTCGATTGATAAGAAAAGTAAAAAAATCTGAATATACAGTATATAGTAAGTTTACTGTTTAATAAATTAGAGCCTGCCTGTGGCTCTAGGGGGGGCCTAGGGGGGGTGCATGTCTAGGGAGGGGCACAGGGGTACCGGTCCCCCCCACTACGCGCCTGGGAATTGTTATGAAGGCAAGGTTGGAGGGGGGGTGGGTATGTGAGGGGAGAGGGGCTAAAAAGAAGATACAATGATAAATCCCAATCTAAAGGTTAAAGTTGGTTCCCTGCAGTAGATACAATTAATTGTAAACATAAAATGATGAGAGAAAAAAAAACTTTCAAGAAACAAAACAAAATAAAAACTTTGAGTCTTTGAGGATTATCAACCCAGAACCTTGTAAATTGAATCTACATAATAGTAAATTATTTTTTAAACAACAAATTTAACCATATTGAGGCAAAGTTTCATAAAACTAAAACCGAGAGAGTTAAATTCTAAATATTTTATGTGGCCCTCCATCGATAGAGTGTCATGCCCGATCTTACAACGATTCCTTTAAAGCTTTGTCTGATCAAGTATGAATTATATATTCATGTTTTTGTTTTTGAAAATTGTTTATTTGTATTTGAGAATTCTCTGCAAAAATGACTTGCTTCAGAAAAAAATTATCAGAATTAAATATTTTTCAAGCTAGAAAAATGACGTTATCTCCTGCATTATTGATCACACTAAGTTTGGCCTAAGAAGCCCTTAGGCAGCTGGAATCTTGTCAACCCTCTTCTCAGAATGAATGAAGAGTGGATGGATGAATGTGCTGCTAGATTACAACCCCGGGTAGATCAATATAAACCCAGACAACACCAAACTTTCGCAATAGAAATATTCTGAGATTTGATCGTAACAACCCGGTCATGTCCTGGGGACAAAAAATTTTTTTTTAAGTTTATCCGTTTGTGAATCGGACATTTCCCTCTTTTTTTTATATGGAGGTATACATAAAACTAGTTGAAAGGAAGAGCTTGGAGTTAACACCGTGAAAATGGTTTAAAATAAAACTTTAAAATGTTTAAATTGTTCCATGCTATCTAAACCAATTAAAGTTGATATTTAGAGATTAATAGTTTTCAGACATTTAGACATTTATTTAAGATAAGCTAAAGGTGTTCATAGTGTTTTTAATAGCTTATATAATTAACATGAATGGTTTTATTTTGTATGGTTTACTATATAATTTATGAACATATGTCTTTGAACATGGTGTTGTTGAACACATGGTATCTTTGAACATGGTATCTTTGAACATGGTATCTTCAAACATGGTATCTTTGAACATGGTATCTTTGAACATGGTATCTTTGAACATGGTATCTTTGAACATGGTATCTTTGAACACGGTATCTTTGAACATGGTATCATTGAACATGGTATCATTGAACATGGTATCTTTGAACATGGTATCTTTGAATATGGTATCATTGAACATGGTATCTTTGAACATGGTATCTTTGAACATGGTATCTTTAAACATGGTATCTTTAAACATGGTATCTTTGAACATGGTATCTTTGAACATGGTATCTTTAAACATGGTATCATTGAACATGGTATCTCTGAACATGGTATCTCTGAACATAGTATCTTTGAACATGGTATGTTTGAACATGGTATGTTTGAACATGGTATCTCTGAACATGGTATCTTTGAACATGGTAT